CCACAACCCCACCCCCCCCCCCCCCCCCCGCAGCAGCCTCTGGATTACCAGAGGTACGTAGCCGGAAGCGAGTAGAGACTGACGGGGCTGTTAACTCAATCACTGTGCTCGCATCTTGAATTCTCGTTTCTGAGACACAGCACACATCAATGCCAAGCGAGTCCAGTGTGAGTGCAAGAGCAGCTTGTTGTCCTGCTTGCTTCAGAGTTCGGAAATTGAACGCGGCCAGACAGACTGGGTGTCAAGGCTTGAGGACTGATTTGGAGATTCCTGAGGATGTCCGCACTATGTGACGAGCAGATTCTGCATGCAAAACCGATGCATGACGAACGGAGTCATCAGTCCTAAGTGCTGGGCCTACAAGGAGAGAGTTATTAATGGGGTGGGGAGAGGGGGAAGAAAAAGTATGTGAAGGAGAAAGAAGGGGGGCGTCAGCAGTAGCCTGTTTTCGCTTACCCGCCCTGATGTATGCAGCAAGTAAGGCGACCCGGCGGATGGCACCACGCGAAGCCGGTGGCAAGGCGACCCGGCGGATGGCACCACGCGACAGCCGGTGGCATGAGTTTATTTGTGTATGTGCAATTCATGGTTGTACGTGGGCTGGGATACTGCCAGGGCGCCCACACCTAGATAGGAGGACAATTAGGGTCCTCAACCAGAGCCTTTGGCTCAAACGCCTAACCGCAAGGCAGCGGTGTTTGGCGGGAAATGCAAATGCATTACCATTTCTACGGAACAAGTCGCCACATGTTCCAACCCCCAACCTGGAGGGCCAGGAGACTGTGTTCGTCAGACCTCTAACCATTGACCAACCTGGTATGAGAGACTCTGTGAGTGTCGCGGGACACTCTCCAGTATAGCTCAATGGATCGCTGAGGTGCGCAAACCGTCACACCACGGTAAGGTCCAGTCTCTTCTTGACGGTTGTTCAAAAAACTGTTCAAAAGCTGTTCAAAAACTGTGCCGGAAATACTTTTAAAAAAAGTTCTTTCCTGTATACCTAACATTCTGAGTGTTGGGAAATAAGCTGCACAATTTTCATGTTCACGGGAATTACGACCGCAGACAACTCGGGAGTGTTCGTTCCAAGCAAACGCACATTATGATGTGAGAAGCCTGTGTGCCATGAAACAAGAGTTAGGTTTTTTCAAAATGGACGAAATTCTTATTGGTTCTAGTTCTGCCTCAGATCACGGAGGGTTATCCATCGGATAGGGCCGTTTTCTTCAGGTTCAAATTCAGGAGGCCTAGATGAATCAAAAGAAGCCAGAATGGTGGAGATTTTCATCCGGCCTTTATGTCACATCAACTGTCATCCTTTACCGTGTCGTCTGTAGCGCCGTCTGCGCATGGCGAGGTGGCCTTGAACTTGACATTGTTATATCACGTCCCACCAACGCAGTGGGCCGCGTGAGAGCTGTGTTGCGATAGCAAGGGCGTTCTCCATCAAAAATAATGACAGAACNCCACAGCGGGCGATGACCGATAATGGTCACCTACACCGTCCCCTACATGAACAATTCATTTTTCATACGCACATAGCAATGGTATGTGTAGATGCGGCGCATACACATCATGTGGAGGAGATTGTTGCACCTAGCTAACCACATTGCAACTCCTATGTAGATCCTTGGTCGTCCGTTCCCCTGAATTTTGTATATTAAAAGGCACTCCAGTTTGAGACAGCACTTTATGGAGGTAAAGAAAACACTACAACTGCATTTATAGGGTTATCACGGAATTTTTAACAAGGCCAGGCTGGGATCTTTGTGATGGTGCGAGGAGCGCCGAACTAAAAATGGTCGATCCTGATCGGCTCACATTCTGACCGATCATTGTATGGCTTTGTATGGTTCATGACATCCATCTATTCAACGTGATGTGCGGTTATTTAGAGCGGCTCGCCTCTGGACACATCCCCTTTCAGAGAGCTATTCGTTCGACCACCGTCTCTATTTGAATTGTGAAGGCTCAAGGAGATCTATCGCATATCGGCTCATCCCTGGGGCAGCGACCTTGCTGATCTGGGGTCTGGCAAAGATGAAGCCGGCTGTACCCTCCACATCGGAATTACTCCAAGGTTGTCCGATGTCTATGCAACGTGATTCCATCAGGGGACAAGAATCTGACATCTTAAATTGATCGGCTTGACGCGACCGCGCCTAGGATCTGATCTGTACCGCATGGTGGACATAGCAGTCGGCCCGGCATCCACCGTGGACACTTAACCATATTACCGAACAATCATCTGGAATTCATATGACTGTTCTGGTGTTCATTCTGTCGGTTCCTCCCACTTAATTGTCTGGACAACAATGGGACGCTCTGCCTGACCATAGGATTTCGGACAGAAGGGTGCAGACCGCGGTTACACCGCTGCAGAATGAGAGGATTAACCAAGGCCGACCGAACTGAGTCACAGGTGTCGAGCGCCACAAACTGAATAGGTATTACGACGCGTAAGCCCCTACTGGTTCCTGGTTTGGTTGTAACCATGGCGACCACAGAGTCGTCAGGATGGGGTGTTTCTGTCAACGCAAGGGCGCCATCTGCAGTTGTTTCGTCAAAAACCGCACTAAAAGCTTGGTCCAAGAGTTGGAGATGATTTATCGAATTTAGAGTTCTCATTGAGGCCCGCACAGTTGGTGCGGCGGCATGCATCATTGAAATGAACCCTGCTGAACGTTACTCAGCGGTTCAAACTTCCGGTCAGTTTGAGGCCTCTACCAGACCCATTACAAAGGTTCACTCTGTGTGCCGAACTGGTACCCTTACAATTACGTTCCACGTTCGTTTTTAAATTAGAGCGGTATCAAAACCTGTATCAATCTACTGAGAAACTAGTGTACCACTGATACACAATGTGACGAGTTCTGGTCGACCGAGTGATTTCTGAATGTAGCCACCACGGTCCATGAATGTTTTCCGGTAGGTCAAAGCCTGCACAAGCTCTTGACTCCCTACTCTTCCTTTTTCCGCTACTTACTATTGCTTTCTTCCTTCGTGGTTTATCAGAGATACGGTCTACTAGGGAGTAAGGAGATACAATGAACAGGCAGCAGTAATCGCCGCATTTATGGCATACTCTCACAGACGTTGCCAAACGAACCGAACAGAGGTAAGCATTCAAACAAAGACTTTTCAGTTCGATGGCCCGGAACAATAGTAACCCAAGCAGAACTAGCGGTGGCGGCTGCCCGATCACCAGAGGCGCGTAACCGGAAGCGAGAGGAAACCGATGTGAAGTTCAGTTTAATACCTTGGATTTTGAATTCTCATTTGACACAGGCAGCACACATCAATAGAAGGCAACTCAGCGTGCATGCAAGAGCGATCCGTCGCCCAGGCACGAACGTTAAAGGCTGCCAGATGAACCGAGCGACGGGGGTTTGAAGAATAATTTCAAAGTGAACGTGATCGTTGCAGCCGAGTCAAATGTAGACATTGCAGCTAGCGGCAAAGCGCGTTGAATGAATGTCAGTCCTTCAGAATAGATCTGCGGATATGAAAGGGGAGACGGTCGAAAATATGAAAGAAGGGAGGCGTCCGTAGTAGCTCGTTTTCGCTCATCCGCCATGTTGCATGCAACAGATGAGGTGACAGTTCTGGTAGCACCACGCGAGTGAGATTACTTGCAAGTGTGCAATCCATAGTTGTATGTGGGCTCGTTCACTATCAGGGTGACCACACCCAGACTGGTAGACAACTAGTGTTCTCAAGCAGAGACAGAGACTCTGTGGATCACAATTACACTCCCCAACATAGCTCAATGGGTTATGTTGCTACCACGTTTACCGCGAGCATCCTTTACAAAAAAGGCACTATTATGAACTCACTCCAGTTGTCTCTCAAATAAACTCAAATAAGTTAGACAAGAACTGACTGAGGAGTTGATCTCCATCTTTAAATGAAAGAGGTGGAAAGACGTCGGGACCAGGAGCATAATCAGTCTAAATCGTTCAGCTGTTGCACCCTTTTGTTGCCTAACTGCCACACCACCAGAAGGAAGCAGGAAGGAGGGCTGGGATACTGCCAGGTTGCCCAATCCTAGGGGAAGTCGGCAGAAAGAGGTCGGGTTCGAACCACGGATCCCCCCTGGTCAGTAAACTCGCTCGCCAACCACTTATGCCAACTCGCCTTGAGTAAGAACATATATTCAAATACTTTTGAGGCTGAAGTTCCACATTCACAGTCCATATTTCTGTCGAAGGCCCAATTCAAATTTTATTTAGGTGGCTGACTTAATTTTTGCTCCAGCTTTTCAGCTCAGTGGTCCCAATACCCACGTTTTCTTCGTATTTGAGAGCCTTTGTGGTTCCTGATGGTTTTACTGACAGTAGGCTTCCGAAAAGTTGTAAAGTTGAAGGACCTTTGGCCACTCTCAGAAACTTTCGTTTCTCCCAGCCCTCCAAAAGGCCGAAGGAAACTTGTCGCCCAGCCTTTAGTAAAGCCACAGTCCTAGCAGAGATTCAATGCTTGGAAAAGGTTGGATGGATTGTATCGCAGATATAAGTCCCAAGACCATGTGCACTTCTATTACCTTTTTCTGGTGGTCGTCAACGTCCAAAATCAGCCCTGCAGATAACCGCTGAAGGAATCGGTGCACGTCCTTTGGTTTGACTTCTGAGTCCATGAGCTTCTCAGTGACCAAGCAAGGTGTGTTTAGTGTGAGCCCAATAAACGTACTGAAAAACGGCAGCAGACAACCGAATGAAATGCATGAGATTGTTCCAGACGAAACGGTCGGCAGTGATCCATCCTCACCACCAGTAATTGATGGTAACTCTTTTTCGGCTTCGGGATTGCTTTAGCAGAAGACATCATGCAGACGAACGATTTCCTATCTTCCAGAAGTTGGTATTGTAAGGAAAGCCTGTGGTCAGTGCAAAGCACAGTAAGCATTGGAGCAGATACGTATGGTGTCTAACTCATGATGACCGCTAAGTTGAGCCGCAAAAGTGCTAAGTGTACCAACATGCGTGTTCATGTCACTAGCGACCACAACGGTGTCAGAGCTTCCAGCCAATTGTAAAAGAACACCCACAATTTCACTGTAACTTTCCTTGGTCGATTCGCAACCATAGTGTGTTGGAGATTAAGCGGATAAGATAACTATAGAACAAATGAAAGCTTCCTTGCACGAGATGCTTGCAGAGAGAAAAACGAACCGCGCGGAAGCGGCTATCAAGAGGATATCTGATCAAGTATAGGCGTTTTCGCTCGGCGACTCAATACCACTCACTCCGGCATTAGCAGCTATAGCGGCCCAGACAGTATCAATAGGGTGCAGCAG